CTTACGGACGTAGCGGACACTCGCGGGTGACCCAAGTTATGACTTGACACTGACAATTTACAGAATTGAAATGACAAAAGGCAAACAAGCATACAATGGATTCAAAGCCGAGAAGGATGGCAAAAATTCTTTCATTTAATCAATTCATTACAATGGGGGGCACTTCGGCCGTTACATAATTTGGCAACAAATGAAAAGCTAATTACAATAAGGAATAGCCGATCAAGCCTCCGGGGCACCTTCATCCGCGGCTGGCTCTTCAACCTCGTCGGCAGCGGAGCTGGTGGCATCGTCTAAGAAATCAAATTCAGTATAATCCGGCTCGCCGAGGCCGGAGCTTTCTATGGGGGACTCTCGCTCCGACAGCGGAAGCTTGGCCTGCTCTTCTGGATCCTTCATCAGCTTTGGCAGCTTCAGGTTCCGTCTAGCCCACCCAGACGTGTAATTCATGGCCTTCAACGCCCGGGATAGCCGCCGACACAGGAGCCTTTGCATCCGCTCCTGGCCCAGGTTGTAATAAACGGACATCTCCCGGCTGAAATACTCCCGGCCGGCGGGGGAGTTCATCCCCCAACTCTCGAGCTTGGCGGCCACCACCTCGTAGCACCAGGGGAGCCTCTCATCGGCCTTCCACCCCTCGGCCAGGAACTTCTCGACGGCCTCATCGGCAGCCTTCACGACGGCGGCCTCGGCCTCAGCCTTCGCCTTGGCGGCCTCCTCGCTCCTGCGCCTCTCGGCCTCAAGCGCCCTGTGGGACTCCTCGAGCTCCCTTTTGCTCTCCTCGAGCTTGGCCAGGGCATCGTCCCTGGCTGCGGCGGCTTCATCAGCCCTTGCCTGCAATGCCTTGGCATCCTCCCGGAGCCGATCAAGGCAAGCTACCGCCTCGTCGGCCGAGGCAGCCTTCTGCTCCAGCTCTTTCAAGCGAGCTATCTCCCAATACTGCCTCTTATGGCTTTCCATAAGCATAAAGGCACTCTGCAGAAGGAAAACAAATGTCAGGCAAATGACTCTACACAGACGAAGAGAGAAACAAAAATATAAGGACAGTAACTTACTTGGACGAGGAGGTCCATGCCACCCTCGTAAATCTTCGGGTCCTCGAGCTTCTTCAAGTGAGCCCGATCTTTGGCCGGCATGGCCTTGGCCAGGACGACGTGGCCAGGGACGAGATCATTGAACACACCCCCGCCGACGGGGTACTCTACCACCTTCTGGTAGGTGGCACCGGCAATCTCCTTACCGGCCCTCTGCGTCCGTGGTTCCTGGACGAGAGGAAGCGATGGGGCAGCATCGTCAGCAACAGTAAGGTCCACGACGGGACCACTATCGCCCACGCTGGGGACGGTAAGAGTACCGGCCTCACTAGCCGGAGAAGGGGAAGGAGCCCTCTTCGTCTTCTTAGAGACGCTCACGCCGGCCTCAGTCAACTTTTTCTGGCCGTCAGTGGCCGGTCTCTTTTTCTTTGATGGGGCAGGCTTTGGGGCCGCATCAGCAGTAGCCCCGCTCCCACCAGCAGCGGCACGTCGGGCCGCCTCGGCCGCCTTAGCAGCCAGCTCCTCGGCCGCCTTGGCCTTGGCAACAGCCATTATGGAACGTCGGTCCATGACAAAGTCTACAAAGGAAAAACAAACAGATTAGTAAGGCAAAGGACAAAACATAAAGACAGAAAGCCGAAGAAAAAATTACCATCGGCCTCAGCAGGAATGCCCAAATCCGGGCCATCGGCCTCCTCAAAGGTGGTAGTCATCCTCGGCCAGAGTGGGAGGTCATCCTCCTTATCTCCGTACAGGTGATATCTGAAGAAGCCGAGGGCGGTCATCTTGTATTCAGTAACGTAATCTTTCACGCTCCTCGGCCCCCCTTCCAGGAAAGCCTCCACCTGAGCGTCCAAAATAGAGCTCTTCGGCGGGTCATGGAGATTGAACCTCCCGGTATGGCCGAGAGAGGGGAACTCGGTACCACTCTCACCAATGGACACAAACACGAACTTGCTCTTCCACCCATGAATGGACGTAGGCAAATCCGTGAAGCTCCTCTTCCTCGGCAGCTGCTGAAGAGTAGCATAGGCCGCACAGTTCTTGTGGCTTCCTCGGCCGATCTGGTACAAGTTCATGAATAAGGCCGTGGTCGGCCTGTAGCCCAACTCCTCACACCGAAGCAAGAAGCCCACTATCAAGGAATAACTGTTCGGCGTCAGCAAGGCCGGAGGAAGCCCCACCATGTCCAGATACTCAATGACGAAAGGGTGAAGGGGGAACCTCAACCCCTTAACAAAACTCATCGGGTATACTCCAAAGTATCCCGGTGGCGGAAGTAGAACATGGTCCGTCGGCCTGGGTGCCCTAACCCGCCCGAACGGCCCCACGTACATCTGGGCGACAAGATAGTCGGCCGCACTGCTCTCCGGCGTGATCAGGAATATGTTGGTGAGGTCCAGGTAGGAGAGACCCGGCCCATTCTTCGGCCTCCTCACCCTCTTCGGCTTAGCTGCTCCCTTCACGGCAGACACCGGCCTCGGGCACGGAACGGCAGCAGAAGTGGACGCCCCGTCCACCGCTCGGGACGCGCCTACGTCCTCACCCTCTGAAGAGGAGGCGGACTCCTCGTCCTCGCCTTCCTCGTCCATCAGCTCTCCGGATTTGTAGGAGCTCAAACGCTCTATCTCCTCTTCAAACTCCTCGAGCACCTCGTAGTCAAGCGACCTCGTGGAGGGCTGGTCGTCGTAGGGGTAGTAGTCCTCGTTCAAGCTCTTCATTACTACTACTACGGGCTTAAGGAGAACAACTTAAGATCTACAGGTGTTCGAATGCCTAACACTAGATCAACTACCTAGGAAGCAAAGTATGAAAAGCGAGGAAGATCGTGATGAACACTAACCTCGAACAACGAAGAACACGAAGAACAGGCTTGGGAGTTTATCTCTCTAGAAAATCGGCCAGCACTTCGACAAATTCAGAATGCAAATGTGATTCCTCGTCGGAGGGGAAGGGGTATTTATAGACCCCCCCACCAACGGTCACTACACGTGGCACTCTCCCAATGGCCACATCAACGCTCACCACTGGGAGGCCACCACGTCACCAACGGGCCAGGACCAACCCATATCAACGGCCCACCGGCAAATCAGACTCTACGGCCTACACGCTCGCCGGCTTCACAAGTACCAGCAAGCACCCATAACGTCTCATTTGCTTGCCAATATCACAAATGCCAAACAATAAGAAGATGGCAACGGCCAGGAACGTAACGGCCACAGAACAAAGGGAACAAATAGCCCACAGCCTTCGACTCCTCGTAATAACCCTTGATGATAACTCTCTACAAGCGATCTGCGCACAAGGGTTCTCCCACAGGGTTACCTTGGCCAGAAAATCGCCATGAGAGTTGGATTCAGGGGGACTACGGAGATGCCGCTTCGGCCAGGGACTCAAGCAACTCCTTCACCCCTCGCACTCCTCGGCCTGAAGCAGTGGGGGACTGGGGGACTACACCGGCCTCAACAAAACAAAGAGTATAAAAAAGGTAACCACAAAACATGGCCACATCATCCACACAGCACAACGGAACCTCATCGGCCAAAGGCCCATGACGTCATTAGCGACGGCCAACAAGCCACTAGAGGCAAGGACACTCATCGTCCTCCGCTAACAATTAATCTTGACGGGCCCTTCGGCCAAGAGCACGAAGGCCAACCAGCAACGGCCAAAAGGAGTGCGCAAGCACCCTCATCGGCCACCCAAAGGAAAGGACGCCATCGTCCTCAAAGCAAGGAACAACCTCAACGGCCTCACCGGCCCAAACATAAACTTCAACCACCAACGTCTAGAAAGGGAAAGCGCGCCTTCAACGGCCGACATTGAAACAAGACAGTCATCATCCTCAAATACATTAAGGAAACAACGGCCTCCCCGCCCACAGCGAGGAACAGGTAACGGCCAAAGCACAGGACAGGATCACCAAAGAGAAAACAACGCCAACGCCGTAACAGCTAACGGCCCGGGGATGCCCGCATCGGCCATGGGCAACAAAGCACAGGAATCTACTCTCCTTCGCTTCGTCTACGTCTCAACTTAGAGAGTGGGGGACTCCTGATGGAGTATATGGGTCTGAGCCCCAGGACCCACATACTCGGAAGAACAGAAAGCACAAGACAACAGAGTGGCGCCCTCGTCGGCCAAGACGCCCCCGTCGGCCGAAAAGGAGCCAACTCGGATTATGGTCCTGAGTCCAAGGAACCCGGGTGCCCTCGTCGGCCGTGCCCTCGTCGGCCGTGCCCTCGTCGGCCGTGCCCTCGTCGGCCACGCCCTCGTCGGCCACAAAGACCTCCCAGAATCGGATTTTATACTTACTCATCTGTACAGCCCATTAGTGCCTTTGTATTCGGCCCAGTAGCGGTCCAGTTGTAAATGGGCCTCCCAAGCCCAAGGCTTGGGAGCCCAACCCTAATTTTCTCTATAAATACTCCCCTTGGGAGTAGTTATAGGGGTGACAAATTCATTCTATTGAAGCATATTACTGCACTTCTCTCTCTAGCTCTCACTTCTCTCTAGATATACTCTATCAATATATATGCATTATTTGCAGCCTTTTTATTTTATCATTTTTATATATATTCATCTTTTTTATATTATCTTTTCATAATAGCTTATCTTTTTATCTTTATTCCTTCTTTTCCTTTTGGTTGTGATATCATGTATCGATTCATGTTAGCCGACCCCAATATCTTTTGGGACTAAGGCTTGGATGTTGTTGGATGTTGTTGTATCAGCATTTTCGTATTTTAGTATTTTTATTCATGTACACTTCATATAATCTAATCATTGAATAGTTTCATGAAGTATACTGTATAAATAATATCTGCCTTGTACATTTACAGGACATAAAAAACTTTTGCTATATAGGTCTCTTAGTTCTACTAAAAAAGATGGAGAAGTTATGATGTGTATTGTTATTTTCCCATTGATGAAAAGCCAGACAAATACATAGAAGAGCTATTGTACCTTTGCTACTGGTGCCAACTCAGCTGCAATATGAACTATGTGTAGTCCTTGACTAAATATTGACAAAGACACAAGTCAGCATCAAGAGCCACTACATAAATCCCCATTCAACCATGAAATATATACACACACACCTTGCTGGTGGTGATGTTAATCTAAGGAATGTGGCAATAACTTCGTGCTCACTCTTCTCCTTGCATAACATGTATTTATCGTAAACAAGCCGGTCTCTCCTCCAGACCATGTTTCTCAGCAACTTAGCATCATCCATTGTGATTTTCTTTTCTAGAGACCAACCGTCAATCATTAGCAGTAAGCGACTCCAAAACTCCCTAGGCATATCATCTACAGGTTCATCTGAAGCTCTTTTCTTCCTTTCTTCTTTGAGGTTACCGAGCGTAACTTGAAATTCATTTACAGAATCTTCATATAAGTGAATATAGGACCGAATCTCTTCATCAGATCGTTGAAGGGACTCATCGAGAAGTTTTATCTTTCGTTGCATGAGTTCATTATGTTTGTGCAACTTTTCTGATGATAACTTGTAGACATTAGCCTCTTCAAGAGACTTTTCAAGCCTGTCAACTTTCTTCTGGAGCTCTAGGTTTTGTTGTAATACCAATGCTGCTTGATCTGCCTGTTTAGTTGTTTTATGTAGCAACTCTTGTAAACTTTCTACCTTATGATATAAGCTCTTGCATTCAAATTTCAGGGCAGATTGTTTCAACACATCTTCCTGAGATACTGCAAGTTTATACTCCAACTCTTTTAAAGAAGATTCCAAAAAAAGTCTTTCTTTCTCCAGCATTTGAATGCGTTCTCCAGCTCCTTTGACATTGCTGAGCTCTGCCGTAAGTGACTTCAGATCATCCTTTAGTGAAGCATTCTCTACTCTCAGTGTATCAAGTTCTTCATTAACCGAATAAGCAACAGTTCCCTTGGAAATATAAGCTGAATTATGAGCATCAGTTTTGGCTAGCTTTATCTCTAACATGTTGATCTCACCCTGCAATACTTCTTTTTCACCATGAATTTTTTCAAGATCTTCGAGTGCATGGATACGAGCTTCATTAAGAAGATGGATATCTAATTATAAAAGGTGAAAAAGAAAAAAAAAGTTAGATAGATTGTCACAGATGAGTATACAGAATGTAGCATTAAATGTTATTTTAAAAAGAAAAAAAAGTCATACTTTTTTCTGCATTTCTTATCATGCCAACCAAATCCTGAAGTTGAACATTTGTCTTCTCCTCATTTGCACCAATGGACTGACCAAATGTAGGGTAGAGAAAACAAATATATAAGAAGCTTTCCACAATTGAAGTGTTAATACCTAAAGAGGTCTGCTCTTGGAGCATATGGAATTAAAGTTTATAAATTCTTTTAAATTTAGCATGTTGGATACAAAAGATTACATTGCATTCTAGTTCCAATTTGTGATTCACAACCTTCATATGGCCAAATATAAAGGTTGCTTTGCTTCTTCATATATGCTATAAATGATTTTCACATTTCATTCCAAAATGCAGTTTCAAGTTTCAACTTTCAAGATTATACCAAAGATTTAGTCTCATTAACAAGAGTCAGATTACTTGCATCTTTCTCATATGATCTTTCAGCTTCTGTCACAAGACCAATACTTCCTTCAGATTTTATTTCTTCATTAAAAAGTGGTTGGCTATGAGCTTCTTTCTCATAGAAACTCTTGGCTTCTAATGGGATTTCAAGTTTTCCTCCAGGTGTTTCATCTTTTGAAAGCTGTATACTGTTTGCTTCTTTTACATCAGTATTTTCAACTTCTATTGCATTGTCAATATTTACTGCAGATAGTGTTTCTGCCTTAGAATTTGGTGCACTATTATCCAAGGAAGTATCCTCCGGGACATCTTCACCTCTGATTGACTGAATATCTGCATTTGTTGGACACTCCAAAATGATTTTCTTGTCTCGTTGTCTCTTATTATGCAAGCTGCAAAATTTTCAGTACCTGATTAACTATTATCAATGGAAAAGCGATCATGAGCTATATAACTGTGAATTTGTTTTGAAATGACATTGACTAATGTACGCATCAAGAGCTTGAATACTTTGATATTGACATGTTTCTCATTTTGCTATCTCAGTTTAATAAACTGGAAGTATTGGCGAGAATAAAAAAGCAAACTACTTTCCTATCTAGAAACTGGAAGTATTCACAAGAATAAGAAAGCCAGACTACATCTTAGTCATCGTAACACTAACTCTACACCAAAATGCCATTTATTAATTCACATGTAAGCAAGCAAACGAGATTAGATGAATTGATCAGTGCTTGTTCCGAGTATTCTATAGAAGTAATGAATAGAACAGAGAAAAATAGAATCTTGACTACTGAGTACTGACCAATAGTCTATGGGGGAAAACCAAATAATTCAGCAAAATAATTGACAGAATCAGTATAACTACACTACCTAAGTAGCTAGCAGAGTAGCATTCCAACGACTGAATAGAAAGAAAGAAACTTTGAACATTAAAACCACCATTTCCGATTACCAAAGATTAATATATCTCTGGTTTTCATAGATATTTTAGTGATATTTTTTTGTTCTGGTCCAGATATCTGATAAAAGATTGATTTTCATTGATCCTTTTAATTTTTGAATTCATATTGCCGTTATTTCCCTAACTAAAGTACCTATATTTCCATTGATACCAATACTTTCAACCTTGCTGATGACACTGTTGCGATTAATAAAACAGAAATATAGCAACAACAGAATCTTGGATTACTACACAAGCAAGAAGTAACAATTACTCAATTCAATAAAGAAAAATACAGTAGAACAAACAAGCTGCGGTTGCAGACAGTTTAGTACCTGATATGGCGCTGCTGCATTTTGCAGGAAACGGGGAGGGGGAGATGGGCACGGAGGGGGCACAAAAATCGCATATTCAATTGCTTCCCGAGTATCAACCGCCCTTTTCCACCAAAGCCGGGGAACCACTGTCGGCTGAGCAGAGGTGCAGATAGCCTTGACTCCATTGAATGAGTGAAGAGAATGAAGAATAAACGGTTCCTTATTACCAACTACTCATCGGCTCTGTTTTTTATGAGATTGGCTCTGGGTTTTGTACTAGAATAGTGCAATTTGATCTTTTTATATGCTATAATTAATCATATATATTCGATTCGATAAATAGGGAGATGAGTGCCACGCATCTCCAATCAAGATAAAGGATATGGGTTCAGTACTTCAACATGGTGGTCTCAGACCCAGCTCACCTTATAATGTTCTTATACCGTTCTTGCCTAAAACTGGTCCAATCTGGTCCATGTACTAAAATTTCGTTCAATTGGGTGCACGTTGTTTCAAGTAACTGTCAAATAAGCTTTTTAGGCCTTAGCGGTATCTCCGATGCAAAAACATGAACAGTGCATAATTGTCATTGGAGATAGCCAATTAAAAAACAACAAATAGAATATTTCTCTCCTTATTTGAACGATCTTATATGATTTTGGTAAGTTTTTCTCTACAATGTCAAGCAGAATGTCTAGATGTAGACATTGTGGTTGACATTGTTGAGAAAAATTTACCAAAAACACATAAGGTCGTGGAAAGAATGAGAGAGAAATGTCATTAAATTAATCTTTTGTGTCTATCTCTCTCCTACCACATGTGCAATGTGCACATTATAACATTGAAGATGCTCTAAGGAGCCGGTTACCCAGTTATGCGCTGATGTGGCTTCTTACGTGGCATAGTTTTAGTAAAATGAGAAAAACATTAAACCTAATCAACGTTTTCCCTTAATTTGAAAAAAAGAAATCTTCGTTATCTTTCTTCGTTTTCCCAAATCAACACTGAAGAATGGTCGCGAAGTGTTCTTGAATCGCAACTGCAACCCGTATTTGTTGGCGTTTCTTCATTTCGAAGGCCAAATCATACAAGTAAGTCTGTGGGGTTGTAGATTAGGACGAGCTTAGGTCTTTCAGTTTCTTGGTGTAGTTTCGCAAGTGCAACCCTGATTTATTTGTGTTTCTTCGTTTGTTGGTCATTCTGCCTCTTTTTTTTATTAGTTGAGTTATGACACAGTATTTTAGTTGAAAATTGGGTGTTATGAATGATTGTGTACATGTATATGTTTATTAATAGGAATTTTATCAATTCAGGACTCGAAAGATAAATTAATTATCAATTCCGGACCTAACAGATAAAATGCATCGATATAGGACCCGAATGATGAAAAACTATCAATTTAGGACCTGAATGATTGAAAACTATTAATCTAGGACCTAAGTTGTCATAATTTTTTTATTAAAAAATTTTAAATATTTTTTTTTTATTAAACTAATAAACTTTTGTGAAGAAAAGTTTATAAAATATTAGTAATGGAATTAATAAAAAATTAAATAAATCAAAACCTATGAAATGTTAGGTCCTAAATTGATAGTTTTCCATCATTCGGGTCATATACCGACACGATTCATCTTTCGGGTCCTGAATTGATAATTAATCTATCTTTTCGGGTCCTGAATTAATAAAATTCCTTATTAACAGTTAGTGTAACATTGTGTTGTAATATTTACATAATGTTTGACAAAGTGGACCTCATTATTCACCATGGCGGGAACTTTGATTGTGTGCCTGAAAGTATGTATGTAGGTGGAGAAGTGGACTGTATCCCAATAGATCCGGACTTGATTTCTTATCCTCATTTAATGAAACTCTTACAGTCTCGAAGCTATGGAAATATTAAAGCACTATTTTTTAAAAAACCAAGTGATCCTATGGATGACCTGCTTCCCCTGTTCAATGATGCATCTACACTTCAGCTCATAGATATGGCTAGTTCTTGTGGGCAGTGTGAAATATATGTAGAGCATGGTTTGGATGAGTGTGAACCGATTCTCCCATTACATGAACCTAATAATGAAGGGTTTAGTGAAGAAGTAGAAGTACAAGGTGCAGGTTTGATACCAGAACAAGAAATGCAGACCAATGTAAAACAAACTGAGGCTCAAATTCATACTGATGATTGCACATCAGAGGAAGAAGTGGGTGATAGGGACAATGTTGAAAGACATGATCTAGATATTGAAGAAGATGATCCTCACATGGAAGACCTTAGAGGTAGAATGAAAAACATGACACTGATGAGGATGCAGACAGTGTTCAATATGATTCTTCTGACCAAGAATTAGATGACAATCAGTCTACACGACCACACATGCAACATGTTTGCTATAATCCTGAGTCTGAGCCTCCCTTGATTGAGTTGGCAATGCTTTTTGAAGATGCAAGGCAATTCAAGAATGTTGTGATTAGGTATGCTGTGTTTAACAAAAGAGATGTCCGCTTTGTGAAAAATGCCCAAACAAGAGTTAGGATAAAATGTGCCCCAACATGCCCTTATAATTGTACTGCTAGTTGGGAACCTAGGTTGAAGTTCTTCCAAGTTAAGGTCCTTGAAACTGAACATTTATGCAATTTGAGGTTCAAGCTAAGAATAGTTAGTGAGAAATGGCTAGTAGAGATATATGAAGAGAAGGTAATTGAAAATCCAAACATGGGTGCAGTAGAGTTGAAGACACTTATTAAGAGTGAGCTGAAAATTAATGTATATGTTAGTATGGCTACAAGGGCTTTGAGGGCCATACAGAAGAAAACACAAAGATATTTTAAAGATCAGTTAAAGATAGTGAAGCTTGTAGGGATTTGAGGAAATATCCATTGAAGTTATGGTGAAAGGCATATTTCAGAAAAAAAAGTTAAAGATCAGTAGATAATAACTTGTTTGAAGCTTTCAATAGTACCCAAATAAAATGCAGGAGCAACCCATTGATTCCCATGCTTGAAGACATCAGAGTTGCTATGATGAAAAGAATAGCAACGAAAAGGAAATATGTGGAAAGGTGTCCGGTAAGATATGTACTTAAAAAAAATCATTTATTCTGTCCCTTCTATGCCTTGTTCAGGTATTTGACCCTTTCACCTTCACCTATGTTAGGAAAATTTGGACCAATCATTATGAAGAAGCTAAATAACAATGTTTTAGCAAGCTTAGGTTGACATGTTGACTTCAATGGTGATGATGGTTACGAGATTAAGAAAGGAAGACATCAGTTCAAGGTAAGCCTGAACAGAAGAACCTGCTCTTGCAGAAAATGGGATCTCACTGGTATCCCTTATGCCCATTCCATCTGTGCAATCTTGGATAAGGCAGACCAACCAGAAGACTATGTGGACACTTGGTACTCCAAAGAGTTATACCAAAAGACCTACTCTTTTACCTTGCAACCAATAAATGGAGAGCTTTTGTGGCTTAGAACAGAACATGAAGAAATGATGCCTCTTTACCAAGAAAGATGATTGGAAAGCCTAACAAGAAGAGGGTAAGAGAGGAAACTGAACAACCAACCTCGAGTACAAAACTATGTAGAAAAGGCAGGATTATGACATGCTCCATTTGTACTGTTTGGAGGAGGGCCAGGAGGGTCCCGTCGTTAGCGCCATCAACTTTATCAGCCTCCGTTCTCCAGCGCTCCAGGAAGTCCCGAAGGGTCTCCTCCTTCCTTTGCCTCACTGTTAGCAAGTGGGAGAAGTGTTTTCTTGTGCGGCGCCTCCCCGCAAATTGCGTCAAGAATCGCTGGGCGAGTTCTTGCCATGAGTCGATGCAGCCCTCGGGCAATCGATTGAACCATTCGTAAGCCGGCCCCTCTAAGGTGGAGAGGAACCAGCGACACAAATATTCATCCGATGCCCCCACCATCATCATGCTGTTTTGATACCTGCTGTAGTGTTCTTGGGGATCAGTCTTTCCGTCGTAGGGCTTGATGAGCTGCCCTCGGTATTTTTCCGGGATCCGGGCCGCCAATACCCTTGGGGTGAATGGCGTCCGGGTCCGGAGCTGTATGGTGGGTTCCCCGGAGCCCTCGGCTATTTTCTTCTGCATTTCCTCCATCTTGGCCAACATCGCCTCATACTTGAGGTCTGCATGAGGGGCAGAAGTGGCGGCGTGTGCTTTGGTGGCCTCCATCTCGTCAAGCCGGCGCTGGAGGGCCGCAATGATTTCATCCCGGGGGTCCTTCGGGAGGGCCTCCGCCCCCTGCGAATGGACCCGGGCCGAGTGGACCTGGTTGATTTGGTGGCGTGCATCGTCGGCATGGAGAGGTGCCTTGCCTTTGTCCTGAGGGGGACGCCTTTCATTGGCCCTGGAGACGGACCCGCCACTTTCCTGAGGCCTCTGGAACGCCTTCTCCCCGAGGCGGTCTTGGACCCCTCGGCGGTCTTGCGCCCCTCCGAGTCTCTCGAGGGCGGAAGTCCGGAGTTGTTCCTTGTTAACATTGTGGCGGTCCCGGGAATGGACTTCCTGGGAGGCCGTATCTTGGGCCACGACCCCCTCGGAGTTCCCCATCCGGAGGACCGGGTTACCGATGGGTCGTGGATGAGGGGGAGGCATAATATTCTCCCCGACCTGAGGTTGGTGGGGAACCAAAGTGCCGAAGGCACCCAGGTTCTGGTTGAGCGTCTGGATGAAGGCGGAGAGCGCCGATTGCACGTCGATTGTGATGACCGGATGGCTAATTTGATTCTCGCTCTGGTCCTTTTTCTTGGCCTCGATGCCGAGGCGGGCATCGGGGGCATTTTGTTGAATCTGCTGGCGTAGGGCGACAGCCTTCTGGTCCAACCCGACGATGACGCCGCCCCCGGGAGCCCTGTTAGAGGCTTTGGGGACGTCGACCTCGCCGAGGGCCAGGTTCCTGTCCTCTACATTCTTGGAGTTGGCACGAGTTGTTCTCACCATTTTAGCTGGGTGTTTTGTGTTTGGTCGAGGGGGAGGGTTTCTTACTTGATTGTTCGACCTCTCAACGAGAGCATCAAATGATGGATAGTGTACCCGGGGGGTAGCTTATCCGAGGGGTTATTACGGGGAATAACTAGAGAGAAGTCAGAGCAAGTAAGTAGAGAGAGAGAGAGAGAGTATATTAGAAATATATTCAGCGTTTTCAGCTTGTTGTGTCTTGGTTACAAATGGGGAAATGGGGTGCTATTTATAGTAGTAATAAATGCCAGACAGGGACACGTGTCAAGCGTCCATTGGCCGAGAGGTCACCTCAACTGGTTGGCGCTGGCAATCGCATGTGGCCACATTTAATGCGGTTGTTGGATGGGACGTTGTACCGGGTACGGTGATCCATACGCATGTGGAGCGGATATTATGTCGGAAAAGGTGCCCTCGGTTGTAGATGACTAGCCGAGGGCTCTGAGTACCGGGGACCCCTTTAGTGCCGAG